AAAAAAAAAAAAAAAAAAAAAAACCAAAAAATAAGTCTTTCTTTATGTTCTTTTTTCAGGTAATAGAGCATGAACATCCAGTAAATAAGATTTCTTTCATTGCTCGGGATGTGACAGACAACCGGGCGTTTGGTTATGTGTGTGGAGGAGAAGGCCAGCATCAGTTTTTTGCCATAAAAACTGGGCAACAGGTAAGCTCCAAGTCTTGATGTCAGGCTGGGAATTGGTCCTAAGTAGAGAGTAGTAGTGTCTGAAACTGAACTAGACAACTTGCTGGAAACAATTGAATGTAGGAGAATAAACTTTTTTTTTGTGAGAAGTGTCCTTTTGTAGCCCAGGCTGGCCAGAAATCATGGCAGTCCTCCTGCCTCAGCCTCCCAGGTGTTAGGATTACAGGTGTGCACTTCCATGCCTGGTAGGAGAGTAAAATTATGATTCAGAGAATATCTGTCTTTTACTAGTCTTTTGTTGTTGTTGTTTTGAGACAGAAGTTTGCTGTTGAGCCCAGGCTGGCCTTGAGCTCATGGTGATCCTCTTGCCTCAGCTTTCCAAGTGCTGGGATTACGGGTGAATGCACCCACTCCCAGTTTTAAAATATCTTTTTAAAATGTTGTCAACTCCCAAATGGTGTGTGGCAAAGAGATAAAAGAATGAACTTTCTTAAAGGTCAGTGCTGACTTTGGAACAACCATGAAGTATTCCCAGATAATTAACATAGTTGTGGTACCTCTTGTTTTACCTAAATACTTACTGATCCTTCTGCCCTTTATGTGTCTGGGGATTGCACTAGCAGTGCGTGTGGAGAGAAGGTGATCCCTGTAAGCCAGGGGAAGCAAGAAAGGAGTTTTAAGAGAAAAAAAGAAATCAGTACTAATGAGAATTAATGGAGACGCAGAAGAAAATAGACTACAGTGAAATACTGACGATATTTTCTCTTGCTTTAGGCTGAGCCATTAGTCGTTGATCTTAAAGACCTTTTTCAAGTTATCTATAATGTAAAGAAAAAGGAAGAGGAAAAGAAAAAGGCAAGTACTACTTGATACAGGCGCTGCTGAATTGAAACCATGTCCGGGACCATGCTTACAGTTACGCATACATAGGGCCTGGCTGGAGTCTTGGTGTCTACAGGGACTGTTCAGAGTACAGAACTGTTTGCTCTTCCCAGTGTGGCGATGCTGCCAATATCCATCCCTACTTCTTGTCTTTTGTCCCTGAAAGCTTTGTGTCGGTTATAGGAACTTCGTAGGAAAAGCCACTTCACATCTAATAATTCTGTTCAATCCACTATCTATATGATAAGGGGAAGAGAATGTCCCAGTAGGTGAAATACACAAAGCTCTTGCCTTATGCATATGAGCTTCTAAGTACATTTTTTCTTTTATTTATTTAACCTTGTCTCACTACAAGTACCTCACAGAAATTGTGTCTTTCCTTACAGGCCGAAGAAGCCAACAAAGCAGTCGAGGTAAAGCTGCATCTTTACTTCTTGTGAATTGGGGGTGCGATGTATGTGAGTGCTTCCTCGCGTCTGCCTGAGCACTCTCTCCTAGCCACATGCTTATGGCCTCTCTGCTCCTGGAAACACAGAACTAAAGGATCAGCACCACGATCATAGCTGCCTAGTAAAAACCACTATGTTAGGAAAATAAATTCTGGAGGGAAAACTCAACTACCCTTAAATATCTGTCACTTTTTCAGAATGGAAGTGAGGCCCTAATGACACTGGATGACCAAGAAAACAAACTGAAATTGGTATGTATGTCATGTTTTATGATTCTACCTAGACATGGGCTCTACTTTCTGGAGCTGTTGCTATTGCCACATTTGTACTGAATCCATATGAAAATCCAATTGCAGCAAGTATTTTCCTAAGCATTAGTGTAACATTTATGTCAGTATACAAAATAATCTCAAAACTAATCCAAATATTTCTCAGGGTGTGGCCCCAGATACATTTGTCTGGGGATATGTTTACACCTCCTGATCTAAATAACAATATCAAATCTGTATGAGTTAAGTGAAAATTCAGTTGTGAGCTTTTGGGTTTTCTTTTGTTTGTTTGTTTTAGTTTTACTTTATTGTTTTGGGTTTTTTTGAGACAGGGTCTTGCTAGTTCAAACTGGCCTTGAACTCACTATGTAGTTCAAACTGGCCTTGAACTCACTATGTAGCCCAGACTGGCTTTAGACTCATGGTGATCCTCCTGCCTCAGCCTACCAGTGAAAATCCCTTAGCATGAGAAACAAAAACTTGCAGCAATGTGCACAGTAATCTTTGTTAGTGGACACATCTGAATCTAATCCAAATACTTTTTTAAGGGTGTGAACCAGATGGATTTGTTTGGGGACATGTCTACACCTCCTGACCTAAATAGTCCAACAGTAAGTGCTTGTTTTTAAATTTGCAATGTAATGGAAATGACATCTATAATTCAGAATTGGCTGTTCACCAGAAATCTTGAGCATCTCACTGAAATTTGGAAGGTGACTGCAGATTTTTTCACATAAAGTGTAAATAGCTACTAGACTAAATGTGACTCTTCAGTCACAAAGGGAACCTGTCAGATACAGGAATATTGCTTAGAGCTTAAGTCTGAGCAATGGGTCAGGCAATGAGAGCCTTCTTAGTATTACTTAGGATCAAAAGAAGCTGAGTGGTAATTCTTGGCCTAAGCCTACTTGAAGAAAGTATGATCATTGCATGACTAATTATAAAGCTTCCTGGCCTCTTCAGTCCCCCTCCAGCTTCTGTTGCAATGTAACCGTGTAAACTTGTAAAGTGAAATTTCAACAAAAGGCTCATTACGTGCAAGCAAAGCCCATCCTTCTCAAAAACTTGCTCATTTT